GCGCTGCGTAGCTCGCGTCGCGCTGCGTGCGTCCCAATAGGTGGGGTCAGTCGGCAAACAACCCCGACTGCTGCGCAGCGCCGGGGTACCAGGAGCACAGCCTGAGGCAGCGCCTGTGCTGGGAGCTCACCCATGCCGCCGCCCCAGGGTTCGCGAGCGCGTTCCGCGACGAAGTCCGCGCGAGGCTGCCACCTGACACCTCCCCCTCATGGGAGTGCTGCTTCAGGACATGCGGCAGGCGGCGCTTGCGGAACAAGCCTGGCTGCCACTGCCGCTGCAAATCCTGCTTGACAAATCCTGCAAGCCGGCGGCAGGGCCCGCGCCTGGACGGACGCAGCATGCGTGCGACCGGACGACTCGCTGCTTGCGAAAGCGGGTTGGGGAGTCCGGCTGGAGGCGGCGGGCGCAAAGGGTCACGCCAAGCACAGTGGGCCTGTGGACGGCGCGCAGACAGCCCAGCGGACGGAACTCACCGCGGCCCGCGGCGGTGCGTGCGCTGAGCCTGGCCAGGGAGCCGGTTGACGTCGTCACGGATTCCCAATTCATCAGCCGCGGCGTGGCGGCTATCCGCGAAAGGGCTATACCAACGGAGTGGGCGCACGCGAATCTGTGGGAGCGCGTTGCCCCACACTGCCGCGGCGGCGCCTTGCGCGCGCGGTGGGTGAAGGCGCACTTGGACGCTGCAGCGCGCTGCTCCTGGTGCGCGCGCGGGGGCTAGACGCGCTCGCTGCCGTGCAGCGGGTCATGGCAGCCGTGGAGTTGGTCGTGCTGACGGCCATCTACGGCGACGGCGCCCGCCGGCCCCGCGTGCGCCGGCGCTGGACGGCCCCAGGGCGCACGCGGCGCGCGCCCCGCAAGGGCGACGACGCGGCAGTGGGGGCCGCGCCGCCTGAGCGCGGGCTCCGCAGCACGCCCGGCGCCCCGCGGAGGCGGCGGGGACAGCCGCCGCCAGCGCCTTTCTCGCCGGCAATGCGTGGCGGGCCCACGTGGCGTCCCAGGGGCCCGCGAGGGCGGCCTGCCTGGGCTGCGGCTGCTGAGTGCCGATCTGGCAGCAGCTGGCGAGCCAGCCTTGCAGCGGCTGGGCTCCGGCGCTGCCGCCGCGTGCCGCCGCCTTGTTGGTGCTGGCGCGGCCAGCCTGGACGGGCGGCGCGGAAGCCGCGTGGCGCGAGGCGCTGCGGCTGCGGCTCGCGGCGCGCCAGGGCGCGCCAGATTAAGCTTGCGAGACTCTGGAGAAGCCCGCCGCAGGCGCCAAAGCTTCACACATGATACAGCTCACCCGCCCTCTTCGTCTTCGATCGGACCCTTCTTGGGGGGTAGACCTTTCTTCCCTGCAGGCCGGGCCCCGGCAAGCGGCGGGGCGGCCGCGGACCGTCGGCCTGGCCAGCGGCACCGCTGATCGGTGGGACGGCCGCGGACCGTCGACCCGACCCCAAGAGGAACGGACAGGGGACCGACCACGACGACGACGACGACGACGACGACGACGGCGACGACGACGACGACGACGGGCGAAAGCGAGAGCGAGAGAGAACGACAGCAGGGCCCCGAAGGGCACGAAGTAGGCCACGAAGAGCGACAGCGGGGAGACGAAGGGAATGCGTATGGGGCCACGAAGAGCGCGAAAGAGCGGGGGCCACGAAGGGCAGATGTTGCGGGGCCACAGACGGCAAAGATGGGGCCACTGAGGGTAGCAACTGGGCCACGTGGGACAGTGAGGGGGCCACAAACGGCGACAGCGGGGCCATGAAGGGCATGCACATGGGGCCACAACGGGCGCGAACGAGCGGGGGCCACGAAGGGCATACGTATGTTGGGCCGCGGAGGGCAAGGACGGGGCCACTGAGGGCAGCAACGGGCCACGAAGGGCAGCGAGGGGGCCACTATGGGCGACAGCGGGGCCACGAAGGCCATGCACATGGGGCCACCACGGGCGCGAAAGAGCGGGGGCCCCGAAGGGCATACATAGATGGGGCCACGAAGGGCAGCGAGGGGGCCACGAAGGGCAGCGAGGGGGCCACGAAGGGGAGCGAGGGGGCCACGAAGGGCTTCAACGGGGCCACGAAGAGGAGCGAGGGGGCCACGAAGGGCTGCAACGGGGCCACGAAGGGCTGCAACGGGGCCACGAAACAAAGCGAGGGGGGCACGAAGGGCTGCAACGGGGCCACGAAGTGCAGCGAAGAGGCCATGAGGGGCTGCCACGAAACGAAGCGAGGGGGCCACGAAGGGCTGCAACGGGGCCACGAAGGGCAGCGAGATCCCGATTCCTAAGTATTCTGTGAGGGAGTCCTAAGCGTGAGCGCGACTCCTGGGCGCCTGGGTGTCGGGAGCGCGGCGCTCGAGTAAATTGCAAGAAATTCCAACGCATTAGCGGTATTCCTACGTGAATTGCAAGCATTGCAAGCAAGTCTCCAGCGAGAGCGCGATTCCAGAGCGCCGAGAGAGCGATTCCTGAACAAATGGTAAGAAAATCTTAAGCGAGAGCGCGATTCCTGAATACAATGCGAGGTAGTCTCAGGCGGGAGCTGGGCTCCGGGCTAAATTGTGAGGACGTCTCAGGCGGGAGCCGTTGTTGTTGTAACCCGGGGGCCAGGGGCGCAGTTTGAGCATCAAGACTTGTCCTGTCGAACAACAGGGTGCGAACGTCGAGGGGCACACTTTGATTGAGAGAAAGCAGTATGCACCGATGAGGGGGGATCAGCAATAATTACTCTTCAGAAGTGAGAGTTCCACAACAGCAACACCATTCATGTTAAGACTGTTCGCTCCTACTGGCACGCGTGTCTTGCATTCTCCGTATACCGTATTCTCCAAACTTCGATACCCGCCCACTTCGTCTTCGATTGCACCCCCTTTCGGGGGGAATCTCTTCCTTGTCGGCCACTGGCTGAGGTGCGAAGAAGACTCGAGCGAGAGCGCCGGTCCTGAGCTCGGGGGCCTCTCTGTTCAGGGGCTCTCGGAATACCCATGGGGAAATATCGAACGGGAGCCCTAATCGCCGAGTCCGGGCCTCCACCAACTTGCCTGAATTACAAGAAAGTCTCGAGCGAGAGTTCCTGAGTTCGGGGGCATTGGCCAGGGGCTCTCGGAGTCAACCTTGAGGACGTATCGAGCAGGAGCCCTTGTTGTCGTGGCTGGGCCTCCGCCAACTTGATTGAATTGCGAGGACGTCTCGAGCGAGAGCGTCGTTTCTGAGTTCGGGGGCCTCTCTGGCCAGGGTGTCTCGGGGTAAATTGTGAAGAAGTGTCGGGCGGGAGCCGTTGTTGTCGTAGGTGGGCCTCCAAGATCCCACATTTAGAGTCAAGCCAACGCTCGAGCGGGCGCCGCGTTTTCAAAGAAAATGTAGCCAGCGTCGAGGCGAGAGCGCGCGGAAACGTTGCCAGAGATCAACAATACTTATTCTTTAGAAATGAGTCTCCACCAGCAAAAACAACAACAGCAACATACATAAACATTCACTAAAACAACAATCATTGTATGACTGTTCGCTCTTACTGGCACGCGTGTCTTGCATTCCGTATACCACAACCCTCGATACCCGCTCACTTCGTCTTCGATTGCACCCCCTTTCGGGGGGAATCTCTTCCTTGTCGGCCACTGACGGAAGTGCGAAGCAATCTCGAGCGAGAGCGCCGTTCCTGAGTTGCGGGGCCTCTCTGGCCAGGGGCTCTCGAAATAGCGATGGAGAAATATCGAACGGAAGCCCTTGTCGCCGTGTCCGGGCCTCCACCAACTTGCCTGAGTTACAAGAAAGTCTCGAGCGAGAGCGCCGTTCCTGAGTTCAAGGGCCGTCTTGGCCAGGGGCTCTCGGAGTCAACCGTGAGGAAGTATCGAGCAGGAGCCCTTGTCGTCGTGGCTGGGCCTCCGCCAACTTGATTGAATTGCGAGGACGTCTCGAGCGAGAGCGCCGTTCCTGAGTTCGGGGGCCTCTCTGGCCAGGGTTTCGGGAAAATTGTTAGGAAGTATCGGGCGGACGCCGTTGTCGTCGTAGCTGGGCCTCCAAAGGTCCACATTGAGGCTCAGGCCAACGCTCGAGCGGGAGCCTCGCTCTCAGAGAAAATGTAGCCGGCGTCGAGGCGAGAGCGCGCTGAACCGTTTCCAACAATAATAATTCTTTGGGAGTGAGTATTCATCCACAAGCAGGGTCCGCGCCGCAGGGGCCCACGTCAGCCACGCAACCAGGGACAGTGGAGGACCGTTCGGACCCCTCACCCTGATCTTCGTTTTCTCTCGACGTGGCAGGCGCAAGCTTCTACGAAGAATGTGCGCGGCGCTGCGGCAAGAGCAACACTTTGGGAAGGTGGCGCAATCCATATGTGTAGCTGTTGCAAATTGTCGAAACAAGTGTGCGCGGCGCTACGGCGAGCTACCCATTTTGAAAAAGGCCAGGCCTGTTCCCTCGTAATGAACGCAAGCTTTCGCAACGAATACGCGCGGCGCTAGAGCGAGAGCCTCACTGTGACAAATTATCCGCCTCCTTCCTTGTAAGTTTTGCAAGCTTGTGGAACGAATCTGCGCGGCGTTATGGCGAGAACCCCGCTCTGAAATGGAGCCGCCCTCAATCCGTCCATCCAATGCACAATGTTGCGCTTGTGGTATCGCGTGCGGAAGCCCCCTTGTGACAAGTAAATGGGCCCAATATGTATAATTGTTGCAAGCTTTTTTACGCAAAGAAGCGAATCTGCGAGGGGCGAAAACGCGACCAAACATTTGGCAATGACCCGGCCTTTATCCGCGTAGCTGCTACAAGCTTTCACGACGTCTGTGCGCGGCGCTCTGGTGGGACTCGCATTAGAAAAAATCTTCCATCAACGCGAAGACTTCCAGAGCGTGACGCCTTGTCCGGTCCGCGGGCACGCCTGGTGGTGCGACAAGAAGTTGCGCGTGATGACTAAGGGATGGAGCAGGATGAGGAGGAGGGGGAGGCAAAGAGAAAACGAACTCGGGCCCCTGGGCAGAGGCCGGAGCGGGAGCGGCGCCGCGGGCGCAACCGAGCGCGGCGCTCGTGCCTCACCAGCGCGACCTCTGCCTGCGCCTCCTGAGGGAGATGGGTGGGCCCCCCTCCCTCCACCGACACCTGGTACGCTTGCGTGGGATCACGAACAGATTGAGCGATCCGTGGTCCTCGTTTGCCCCAGGGCTGCAGGTCTCAAAAAGGAAAGAAGCACCCCTTGACTGGGCCGCATGGGCTGCGACCTCCTCCTCATCTTCATCATCAAGCGTGTTAACCTCCGTGCCCCTTCCGTTTGCTCCTTCCTCCACATGCTCCTTCTATTTCCTTCCTCCTTCCTCGCTCATTCTCATCCTTACACCTCCGCCTCTCACTTTCCTCCACACCGTCCTGCTTTCTCAAGAGAACGGTGAGTCCTATTGAGATTCGATCCTGCTGGGATTCTCTCTAAAACCTACCTGAATCCGATTGGAATCCGCTTGGGGCCTTGCTGGGCTCATGTTGCAGCCTACTTGGGCTCTCATTGGGATCCGACTGTGGCCTTGTTGGGATCCAATCAGGATGCAGATGGGGCCCCGCACGGAGGTGTCAAGGGCTGGATATCATTTCCAGGAGCGAATAGCGATATATATATATATATATATATATATATATACATAATATATATATATATATATATATATCCACCGAAAAAGAAGGGGTGGGGCCGATGCATGGACGTCGAAAGGATCTGGGTCTTATGCAAGATGGCTTAGCGTCCTTACGCCGCGGCTAACGCGGGCCGCCAGCGCGGCACGCAACACTAGAAGAGAGGGCGCTTACGCGCGACCTCGCGCGTGCAGTTCACGCGCGCATGTCGGCGCCGACGACCACGTGTTCTTGTGTCGTTCCGTTGCTTCTCAGGGATACTCCTTCCTCCCTCCTTCTGCGGAACCAAAAAAAAACTGCATGAACGTAATGAGGCTCCGCGCGGATTTCTTGGATCTGCGCTGGGCCCCCCCTCCCTGGCGCGCGGAACGCGCCATGGGCGGCTCCGGAAGCGCCGCTGGGGGGGCCCAGCGCGGATCCAAGGTATTCGTGCGGAGCGCCACCAATTTATGTTTATGCAGTTTCATATTCTTCGAACATTCCTGCCTTTGAGCAGGGACCGACAGTCCAGGCACTCCTATAGGCCTACCAGGAAATTTTCTTGGAACCCAAACATGTTCTAAGTGCGAACGCTATGTTCTGAGACCATGAACTCGATGTGTGAAAAAACAAGACTGTCTCAGCCAACAACTTTCTAAGAACGTTCCGTGCAGACCACAACAGGTGACTAGAACATTCTTTGGTGGGCCTTTAGGCGAGCCAGGATGCTTCGCCACTGCTTGATGCCTCCTCCTTCTTTCCCCCCTCCCGCCACTACCTGCGAGTCCACCCCCCGTCGAGGGGGGGTCTCGGCCGCGAGGCTGCGGACGGCGCTCGGCACCGACGGCGGGGTTCCCAGACGGCGACGGCGACGATGACAACGACAACGACGACGACGACGACGACGACGACGACGGCTGGGAACCTCGCCGTAGCCACGGCAGAATCCACCTGGAAGTTCCCGGAGCTGAGAAGGGGAACGAACTCCATACACCGACGCTTTCTCTGGCCCTCCATTGACACTTGCACAGGCAAAGCGGATCCTGGTCTAATCGGGACCCTAGTGATGACTAAAAAATTCGCTGTTCCTCCGGGAAACGGAACAGATCATACACCACACCAGCCCGACGTCGTCCCCGAACCTCAAAAAAGTCCGGAGATCGAAAAGCAGCCCGCCTCTGGTATGTATGCGCTCCTGTCCCCGATAGAGGGCAAACGCTGGGATCGAAACCGCCATGCCGGCGGAGACCTGGGCCGCTCAGAGGTCCTGGGACGCCCTCCCCGAAGCGGGGCCCACGGCCGCTGCGGCCTCCCTCCTGGACCTCGCCCCCGCGCTCGCCCTCGCAGTCGCCCGCGTCGTCGCCATCGCCCTCGCCGCCGCCGCCGCCGTCGCCCTCGTCCTCGCCGCCGCCCTCGCCGCCTCCTTGCCCGTCGCCGCCGCGGCCGCGAACGTCGTCGTCGTCGTCGTCGTCGTCGTCGTCGTCGTCGTCGTCGCCGTGGTCGTCGCCGTCCTCCGAGGCCCTCGCGCGCAGGCCCGCGGCCTCCAGCGCCTGGGCCTCGGCGGGGCCGCGCGCCTCCCGCGCCTCGGCGTGCGGGCGGGCGGCCTGGCAAGCAGGGCGGCCGGCAGGGGCCGCGGGCGGGATCCTCCTCCTGCTCCTCCTGCTCCTCCTCCTCGCCTCCTCCTCCTCGCCTCCTCCGCCTCCTCCTCATCCTCCTCCTCCTCCTCGCTTCCTCCTGCTCCTCCTCTTCCTCCTCCTCCTCCTCCTCCTCCTCCTCCTCCTCCGCCTCCTCCTCCGCCTCCTCCTCATCATTTTCTTCCTCTCCTCCTCCTCCTTTTCCTCCCCTCCTCCTCCTCCTTCCGTCCTCCTCCTCCTCCTTCTCCTCCTCCTCTCCTCGCCTCCTTGCTTCCTCCTGCTCCTCCTCCTCCTCCTCCTCTCCTCCTCCTCCTCCTCCTCCTCCTCCTCTTCCTCCTCCTCCTCCTCCTTCTCCTCCTCTTCCTTCTCCTCCTCCTCCTCGCCTCCGCCTCCTGCCTTCCTCCGCCTCCTCCTCCTCCGCCTCCTTCGAACGGCCTCCTCCTCCTCCTCCTCCTCCTCCTCCTCCTCCTCTTCCTCCTCCTCCTCCCCCTCCTCCTCCTCCTCCTCCTCCCCCAACTCCTCCTGTCCGCTTCCTCTTGCTCCTCCTGCTCTGCCTCCTCCGCTCGCCCTCTCTTTGTCCTCCTCGTCGGCCCCCCACCTCCTCGTCGTCCTTCTCGTCCTCTCGAAGTCCTTCTTATGCTCCTCTGCCTCCTTCCTGGTTCCGCCCCTCGTCCTCTTCTCCTCTCTTCCTCCTCCTGGGGGCTCAGGCTCAGGCTCTGCCTCCTCCTGGGGGCTCAGGCTCTGCAAATAACAGGACAGCCAGGAGACATCCATGCCCAACCGACCAAAAGACCTTTCCTCCATCGGGATTGCTCCCCCGGTTCTAAATCGAGTCCCAGCGGCTGCTTTCGGGCCCCCGAGCCCATGGGCCCATCAACAAAAACAGCTCGGGATGAGGAACCCATCCCGTGAAAAGGGTCCTCCTCCTCCTCCTCCTCCTCCTCCTCCTTCTCCTCCTCCTCCTCCTCCTGCTCCTACTCCTTAGGCACCTTTGCCACTGGGACCCCTTCCCAGAAAAACAGGCGGGTAGCAGCCCGATCGTCACCCTTGCTTGCCTGTAGGGGGCCAAGGGGAGAGAAAGTTGCTCCTCGTCGCCAGCGGCCACCCATGGAGTGGGTGGTGGGTAGGTTGGGCGTCGGAGCACGGTCTCTGGCACCCCCTGCCCCGAGCAGGGCGCGCGGAGCACGGTCTCCTTGCGCGCCCTGTCTCGCGCACCGGAGCATGTGCTCCTCCTGGTCCTGGCCACGGGGGTACGTGTCCCGACGGTTGGCCCGCAGGACCTGCACCTGTTGGCTTTGCCAGTCCTCGCTGGCGCCTGCGGGTCTTGCAAGCCTCGCCCGCAGGAAGACCCGTCATGACTGGCGGGAGAGGGTGCAGCGGCAAAAATCCTCCTCCTCCTTCTCCTCCTCCTCCTCCTACAGGGCAATTTTTAAATACATAGGATTACATAGGTATAGGGGGTGGAGCGAAGGGGCAGGGCCCCTCAGAAGGAGGCTGCTTCTCAGAGGGCGCCGGCCTCACATCTGCAGAGAAGGCCCGCGCACCCTGAGAAGCAGGGGATTGCTTCCAAGCAGCCCCCCCCCCTCGCCCCCACACCCCTCGAGTGCGCGTGGCGGCACCACTTGAAGGGGCCCAAGGACACACAAATAAATACACACAAATGAAAAGACTCCCCATCTTTTCCCACATGTTCTGGGTTTTTGTCTCCCCCCCACTTCCCATATCTTCCCATATCTTCTGGGGAGTCGACGATGAATCGTGTCTCTCTGTGTTTCTTCCCCTCCTGACCACTGCTGGCAGGCCGGCCCCTCACGGCCCTCGCGCTGCCGCCGGGAAGGCCGGACCGGGGCCCGCGCGGGGCTCGTCGAGGCCACGGCGGGCCGGGGCCACGGAGAGAGGCCCTCCCACGGGGCTGGCCCCGAGGAGCGCCCCGCGCTCTCGGCGGGCGGGCCTGCTCGAGCTCTCCGCGGGCCAGCGCGCGTCACGCGTGCGGAGGCTGCGCGGTCGGTGCCGCGCTCCCGGGTGGCTCTGCTCCGTTGCTGCCCGCAGCGCGCACCGCCAGAGGCGGCGGGGAGCTCGAGAGAGCCACCTCTGCCAAGGCAGACGGGGGCCCGAAGACGAGAGCTGCCCCTCCCGAAGCCAATCGGGGGGCGCGCAAACACGGATTAGCGATCCATGGATTTAGCGCGCGGTCGCCAAATCCATGGATCGGGGGAGGTGCCCTCCCCAAAATGCGGCCGGTGCCGCCCCGCTCGGCGGCGGATTTCCCAAGCAAGGGCGCCTAACTTTCGGTCGGGCATGTCCCCCTACAGGCGGATTTCGGACGATTTTTTTTTAACAGTCACATAATTATTTCCAAAATAACCCAGCAAATGGTCAACAAATCGTCCCCAGACCATTTTTGGACTATTTTTTGAATGACCCCCTGTAGAGGGACAGGCCCGACTGATGCCTAACTTCGCGCTCTCGCGCCGCCCCCCAGGGGAGAAGAGGAGGACGAGGAGGGATACTGGAGCCGAAGCGCGAAGCGCGAATGAATTCGCGCCCGAGAGGGCGCACTTGCCAAAGCGGTCTTTGTCTCAACGCCTCCACCGCGCTCGCTGCGCCTGCTGTCCGCGCGCAGAAGTCAAGAGTCTCGACGACTGCGTCGCTCGCAGGGGCGAAGAACGTGGAACAGGAACAGCGGGGGCCCCCCTGGTCTCGGGCCCCGAGGTCTGGCCGCATCTGGCGCGTGGCCCCAGCAACCGACACTGACCATCGTTTCTTTTGGCTGCGCGCAAGGGGGTATGGGAGAGAGGGAGAAGGCTGCTTAGAAGGAGGCTGCTTCTCAGAAGGCGCGGGCTTGATGTCTACGGACAAGGCCCGCGCCTTCTCAAAGATCGTGGACATCGACCGACACTCCAGAGGAGGGACACAGTACTGCTGCCGCTGCCCCTCTCTCGTCACCACGGCTGGACTCGACTCGGGGCCGCCTGGTCGGAGCGCGCCCCTGCAGAGGTCCATAGCGGTGCCGGTGCCTCTCGCGTCACCCCACCCACCGCCCGTATCCACACAAGGACGCTCGGGGGTCTACAGATCTGGGTCCATCCAGACCCTGGTCAATCGGGCTTCGCGGGCTCCCGCAAGACCCTGCAGGATCCTGCAGGATCCAGCACCGAAGCCCGGGTCATCCATGCGACGCTGGTTCTGCAGGAAGCTGCAAGATCCGGCGCTCTGGCGGACCCCCGTTTGCATTGACCCCCGTCGTCAGGCTCCCAAGACAACTTCTAAGTCGGGCATGTCCCTCAACAGGCGGATTTTAAACTAACACTGAAATTGCCCAAACAACCAAAAAACAATCCGACATAATCGAAAACAGTAGAAGCATCGTCCCCAGACAATGTTACTAAAGTGTCTGGATATTCAGCAGAGGGACGTGCCGCGCGCCTGCCGTCTCTTCCTTTCTCCTCCGTCCCTTGCTATTTCCTCCCTTTCTTTCGCCTTCTGCCTCTGTTGTCCTCGTTCGCTCCCGCCTCCGCGTTGCCGCTGTGCATCCCCTGACAATTTTCCCGTGTGTCGCCGGCGACAGTTGCGCTGTGCCTGACCTTCACTGCGCTTTTTCCGCTGATCGACCCGGCTGACGGTGCGCGGCCTCTTCCGCGTCACTCGCCATCAAAACAAGTAGAGGGGCGTGCCCGACTTCCGACAACTTCTGAGGTCCTGCCCCAGGGCCTCTGGGGCGCGGTGGGCATGGAACCTTGCTCCCACCGTCGGGGGCCGGTTGATGTCGATGGCCATCGCTCGCTCTGAAGCGGTAGATCTGGACACCCAAAGATCCAACGTATTGAACAAGTCATGACGGCTTCGTTTCGCAACTTTCGGCCTCCAGGGGCCCTTACCGAGCCTCGGGACCGTCAACAAAAACGGCACAAGATGAAAACCTGTCCTGGGGAATTGTGTCGAGATTTCTGGGGACACCGTATTCACAAAAATCTCGACATCGGATCTCTGGGCATTTGCTGGCGGTAGAGTTGCGTTTGCCTGCTGGGATGGCTCGCAAGGCTATCTCTCCCCCTTGCGCGCTGCCAGTCGGAACCCGCTTGCGTTGTACACCCTCCCGTACCTTCTGCCCGCTGAGCCTCAATGGGGGCCAGAGGACTTCTTTGAAGGGGCCCTGGGATACACAAATGAATAGATAGAAATCCCAGTATTCTCCATATTTCCTTATATTTTCTGGATGTTCGTCTTCCCCCCCACTTCCCATATTTTCTTATATTTTCCTGGGGATCGACGATTAATTGTGTCTGTGTGTTTTTTCCCCTCCTGATTCTTTCTGTTGCCGAAGTGCGCACACGTAGACAAAATTACCGGTCACCAGCTGTACGAGGCGACGCGCCATGTGCCAGGGCCCCGGAATCTAGATTTTGATAAGCCAGGACGTTGGCGCGCCCGAGTATGCTGCAGCCGTGGATCGGAACAACCTCCACGCTTAATTTCCTCTGGGTGGAGTTGTCAGAGGCCTGGCTTGCAAGGTCCGAGTTCACGGGGCCCTGGGTTTGGATCAATCGCACATGCGGATCCATGTGCACTCACGTCTGGGTCCGGCGTTGCAGTCAAGGCAGCTTACACGAGTGCGACCCCACGCCGGCAGCGCAACGCCTGACGGCCGGGAGCCCTAGCACCGCTGGCAGTGGCTTCTCACGACGCCACGGCGCCGCCGCCCAGGCCGCTGCAGGCGGTGCACTGGAAGAAGTCGCAGGCCCTGCACTGGTAGCAGGGCGCGCCAGCTGGCAGATCCTTCTGGCACATGTCGCACCAGACGTCCTCCGTCGGCACAAAGCGCTCCATCGCGTGGCCGGCAGGGCACGCGGGCTCAGCTGCCGTGCCGAGCGAAGCGGGCGTCTCCGCGATCAACATGGACGCCGTGGCGCCTTCCGCCGCGGCCAGCTCGTCGGCCGCAGGGGCCACCGGAGCCGTGGACCTCATCAGCA